GGGTGGCCCAAGCAAGCGCTTGAGCTCTGTTTTTGCTGGCAGGAGGCCACCGCGGCCGAAAACGGAGCCCTGATGATGTGATGACAAGCTGGCCATGCCCCTGCTGGCCATGCCCCCCACCCACCCGCCCACCGGGTGCTTAGATCTAGCCTGCAGGATCGTCCCATGTGGCTTCTGCCAGCGAAAATGGAGCTGGGGGCGGCTGCATGCAGCTCCCCTGAGCTCCATTTTCGCTGGCAGAGGGCTGCAGGAGGCCATTGCAGCCGAAAACAGAGCCCTGATGATGTGACGTCGAGCTGGCCATGCCCCCGCTGGCCACGCCCTCCCATAGGGTGCTTAGATCTGGCCCGCGGGACCGTCCCGCGTTGTTTCTTCCCGCAAAAATGGGGGGGGGCGCAAGCAAGCCCCTGAGCTCTGTTTTCACTGGCAGAGGGCTGCAGGAGACCATCGCGGCTGAAAACAGAGCCCTGATGATGTGACGTCGAGCTGGCCACCCCCCTCTTTCCCCTCAAGGTCAAACACAAACCTGATGCGGCCCTCAATGAAATCGAGTTTGACACCACCACCACCCCCGGGTTGGGCAATCCTCATTTGATTGGCTAGACGGGATGTTCCATCTTCTGAGCAGCTGGGGGGTGTGTGTGTCTTTCCTACAAGACGGTCTTGACTCTCCTCTTCCTCCCCCTCCAGAGCTCATGATCTCTATGGGGTACACCAAGGAAGAAATCCAAGAGTCCTTAGTCAGCCAGAAGTATAACGAAGTGATGGCAACGTATCTGCTGCTAGGTTACAAAAACTCAGAGGTGAGTGCGAGGCGGAGGTGTGTGTGGGGGGGGGGGTTTGCCCACGTGCACCGAGCTTCTGAAGGGCGACCTGCAGGGGTGGTTTGCAGTCCCGAAGCAGGCAGGCTGATTAGTCACGTTGTTTTTCTCCTGTTAAAAAGTAAAGCTTTTGCATTTACGTTGAGACTCTGGAAAGAGTGCAGGGAAGGGGAACCAAGAGGATTAGGGGACCGGAGGTTAAAACGGTTGCAAGAACTGGGGATGTCTAGTTTAATGAAAAGAAGGACCAGGGGAGACAGGATAGCAGTGTCCCGATATCTCAGGGGCTGCCCCAAAGAAGAGGGAGTCAAGCTATTCTCCAAGGGCAGGAGAAGAAGCCATGGGTGGAAACTAATCAAGGAGAGAAGCAACTTAGAACTAAGGAGAAATTTCCTGAACAATTGATCAATGGAACAACTTGCC